TGGCTAAAAAAAATATAACTTTTAAATAGATTAGATTTCTTGTAACTTTGGTTTTTCTTTTAATTTAATCTAAGATTTTGCTAAGTAAGTAGAAATCTATAAGACTAATACATCCAAATCATTATTCATAGGTATCAAAGCTTTTATGCATGGTACAAAAAAGTATCAATTTTTGTTATATACGCCACATCTATTATTGATGGAAAAAAGATTTCAAGAAGCATTCTCAGTGAATACTAAGATTATCAAGATGTTTTTTTAAAAAAAGAAAATAAATATTCTTCCAAAATATCATCTCTATGATTGTTCTATTGATCTTTGAGGAAGAAATTCTTTATTATTTGGACCAATCTATAGCCTAGAAAAAATTGGCTTTACTCAAGGAATACATTGATGAAAATTTGGCTAAGAAATTCATATGCCATTTTAAATTTCTTATAGAAGCTTCTATCTTATTTGTAAAGAAAAAAGATGGATCTCTATGGATGTATATATATTATTGAGGATTTAATAAGATCAAAATAGATATTTATTAATTTTAATTTTAAAACTTTTTAATCTACTAAATCAAGCAAAGATCTATATAAAAATTGATCTATAAAGAGCATAAAACTTCATATGTATTAAACAAAGAGATGAATAAAAATTTTCATTTTGAATCATGTATAGGCATTTCAAATATAATATCATGCCTTTTGGACTCATGAATGCATGAATTACTTTTTAACATCTAATAAATGATGTCTTTTGTGAGTTTCTTGATAATTTTGATATTTGTTATCTAAAAGAATTCTTAAACTACTTTAAGAACAAAGAAGAGTATGAAATTCATGTTTGTGTTGTATATTACAAAAACTAAGATATATATGATTATATGCTAAGATAAAAAAGTGTATATTTTATATTATTCAAGTTAACTTTCTAGGATACATCATTTGAAGTAATAGTCTTATGATAGATTGTAAGAAGGTCTAGACTATCATAAATTGGAAGATCCTAAAAACAATCAAAGATATGCAATATTTTTTGGAATTTGTCAATTATTACCAAATATTTATGAAGAACTTTTTTCAAGTTGCAGCTTTTCTTATATGCTTGATATGTAAAAACAAACTTGAGTGGAGCAAAGAAACAAAAGCATCTTTTGGAGCCTTAAACACAACATTTATTTATGTACCAATCTTGTATTGGATCAAATTTTTTAAGGCATTTAAAAAAAAAATGCATTAGACTTTCCTATGGATGTTATTTTGTTATAAATAAGAACAAATAACAAGCTCTACCTAATAGATTTTTATTCTGAGAAATTTTTAGCAACTAAGATTAACTACAAGATTAACTATAAGATTAATTACAAAATTAATTATAAGATTAATTATGCTTCTTAGAATTATGGATTCATTTCAAGAATGGCATCATTATCTAGAAGGTACTTTTAATTCAATCATTGTATATACAAATCACAAAAACCTTGATTATTTCATGTATTTTGAATTATTGCCAAGCTTATTGGAGCATGTTTTTATCAAGATTTGATATGAAGATTGTTTATTGATTTAAAAAACAACAAGATTTATCAAACATTCTTTCTAGTTGTTGTTATTTTGCATCAAAAGAATGAGATGCAACTTTTGATCAACAAAGAATGGTAGTTTTGAAGTCCAAGAAATTTCATCTTCAAATAATAAAATTAATATTCACTATTAATTCAATGTTTATTAAAAAAATTCAATTAAGTATGTCCTTTAATTTTTTTATTCATGATATTAAGATTACTTCTTTTAAGCCTCATGATACTTTTTAATTTGAGTTCAAGAACAATCTACTCTATTTTGAAGGTTGCCTATATGTTTTAGAAAGAGAAGCAAGTTTACGTATTTTTTAAGCTTATTATGACTTTCTAGCGGTAGGACATTTTTGATACAATAAAACTTTGGAGCTTATATCCAAAGAATTTTAGTGGCCTCAAATGTGGAAGGCTATTGAGGACTTTTTATAGTCATATAACATTTGTTTAAGATCAAAAAAATTTCATCATTAATCCTATGGATTTTTCCAACTATTACTTATATCAAATAACTATGGTCTTCTATTTCTATAGATTTTATTATAGATCTTTCAAGTTCAAGTTCATATGATACTATATTCATTATCATAGATTCTTTCACCAAAATGATATATTTTATACCATGTATTAAATCTATTTTAGGTAAATAAATAGCTAAGTTTTTTTTTAATAATATTTATCGCTATCATGGATTGTCAAAGGATATTATATTAGATAGATGAATATAATTTGTATTAAGATTTTAAAGAATATTTTTTGAAATATTAAAGGTAGATCTAAAATTACCTTTGACTTTTTATCATCTAATTAATAGTCAAATGAAACATGTGAATCAAGTTTTGAAGCAATATTTTAGGTGTACCATCAACTATTATCAAGATGATTGAATAATTATTTTTCCATTGATAGAATTTATATAAAATAATTTAAAATATTCTTTTACTCAACAAACACCTTTCTTTGCAAATTATGGTTATCATCTATAACTTGATACTTTGAATTTTTAAAAGTTGATAATCTTGTGGCAAAATATTTAACAAATTATTTCTTAGAGCTACATGCAATAATGAAGGCCCAAATAAAAGAAACTCAAGAATAACAAAAGATAAACATAATTACTTATTAGAAGAAATAACCCTAATTCAAGGTGGATGACAAGGTATAGTTACTTTGTCGCAATATTGAGACTATTTGTTCTTGTAACAAGTTGGATTTTTCTTATTCATGAATAAATCAATCTAAATTCTTATTGATTATATGTATCAAATTCAATGAAGATCCATCCCATATTCCACATGTCTCTTATTAAATCATATAAGATAGTAAACATATTGAGAAGAAGACAAGTACGACCTCCTCTTATAGAAGTGAACAATAATAAAGAGTTTGAGGTGGAAGAAGTCTTAGATTCAAGGTGGCACCAAAATAAATTAGAATATCTTATTCATTGGCATAAATATAATATTTATGAAGGCTTATGGAAGTCAATAAAGAATCTTGCAAATGCAATTAAGAAGATAGAGGCTTTTTATTGATAATATCCATCAAAATCAAGATAAAAAATAATAAATCTTTGTTATAATAGAAATAAAATCTATTAAAGATAATATTCTATCTTTTATTTTTATTTGTAGATTTTATATATTTATGGTACTAAGGACATGAAAAACCAATAACTTACAGATTCAACTCAAGAATTATCATTTATTGACTTATTGAATAAGATATTGCAATTGTTACAATATTCAAGATGACATAATTGAGATGAAGTTTTTCAAGAATAACATATTTGTTCTTAAATAAATAGAAAGATAAAACATGTTTGATATTACAACTTTGAAAGAAACTCTCCATATTTAGTGATTTTATTAGAAGTAGAAACAACTCATAATGATGTTTCAAATGTTTTATTTGAAAAAAGTTACAAAAGATTTATATATTTATTTTAATAATTACGTACATGATTAGGTAGAAGTAGATAAAAGTGGATTAATTTCATAATATCTTTTAAAAAAACTTTTTAGAAGCTTTATAGATGCGGCTTTGACTTTACATGTACTTGAAGTTGATTGATAGATTAGAAACTTGATCAAAAAGTTAACCACATGTCACACATGTTGATAGCTTGTTGAACAAGTTAATTATGTTACACACATATAAAAAACTTGCCTTACAAGTAAAGACATGTGTCTTATAAAATCAACACGTGTTGGAGGTCTTATAGAACATTCTTATACAACTCCTAATTAGATAGTATATCTTTAAGGAAGAATGAAGCCTTCTTCACTCTTATCAATGTCTTTCTAATTCTTAGTCTCATTTCAAGACTTTCTAATCTTCTTGACTTTTGACAATAGTTATTCCAATTTCAATACTATATTAGTTTTGAATAAATATCTACTCTTTCCAAGTGACATAAGAGTGTATTAAGTTATTTCTTTTGTTGAGATTCATGTCCTTGACAATATGTAAAAAAAGATATTTATTATTATGTTTATTTTTTTAAAGATTAAAGTCTCTAGACTATCAAATAATATTATAAAATAATAAATTTATATTTTTATTATCTATGTAAAAAATTCAGAAATAATTCAATTTATTTACACACAACATATCTTATCTTAGAATATTGCAAGTTTTTGGCATTGTAGTTGATATTTGTAATTATAAAATTCTTTTAAAAATTCTTGAATACATTGATCTTGAAACCATCTTCAATCTCATCTAATTTTTATATTAATGAAATTAAACAACCTTATTTCAATGAAATATCATGCAAAAAATTGTAAAAATTTAGATTATATGAATTATTAGTAACACCTATAAAAATTGATTTTTATATAAAAAACAAAAAATATTTTATGTTTTTGTGTTTTAAAAATAAGATAATAAAAAAGTAAAATTTAATTTTATTAATAGGAATATATAACTTAAAAAATATTGGTTATGTGTAATTTGATATATTTGGGTATATTAAAAATAATTATTGGCATTTTTGTAATAAGACTGAATACCAAAATGAATTCATTAATATACATATATATACATTTCAAAATTCAACAAAAGACCAAGAAATACACTAAAACCAAAAGTTCAGACCCCTTTGATCAGATTATAGAATTGAACAGAAATTTGATAATAAAGTATTTAGCAACCAAAAATTTCACAAATCACTAAATTTTTTTTCTTGAATATTACTATTCATTTTTAAACTTTTAAACTTGCAAAAATTCAAATAAAAATCTGGTAATATAAACATAAAATATATTTATGCACGTGTTTATCAATGCCACTTACTTAACATTTCTTTTAACAAAAGGCTTGAACTAAATTTAGTCTACTAACAAAAGAAATAACTCAATACACTCAACAAACTACTTTTTAAACGAGAACGTCAACCATGGCATACAAACGCCGGGAACGCCAACAGTTACATTCATCCGAATCGCAACAACAGTTTTCACAATCCAACCACATTCATCCGAACCGCGGTAACAGAATGGATCATCCGAAGCGCAATAACGGGGTAGGCCATCCAACTATTTTCATCCTATTACGTTCATCCATCTAGCAAAGCCGCCGCGGCGTCGGTGTATGGACCGACGCGGAATGGCTAGCTTAACGGCGAAGTTGTTTCAGGGCCTGATTCGAAGCCCTTCTTCACATCGCCCGTTACGATCGGACCCTAGCACGTTGTATTCAATAGCTGAACCTGGTGTCGAGTTCGAATAGGTTACCGCCTTGGAAGGCTTTGAGTGGTGTTCAACCAACTCCGAAGCGAGCGAGATATTTACTGAAATCGTTTTTCCAGGAACACAATACATCTGTTAAACTCCAGTGATGGTACCGTAATTGGTGAGCTAGGACTGCAGCAACCGAGCCAACTTGAGGATAGTTCAACAGATGTGCTACAGAGGCAGTGTTACAGGTGGTCTTCCTCCTTCAGAACCAGGAACTGAAAGCTTGGAAACTAACACCAAAAAGGAGGGTCAATTATCGGTCCCGGAAAAAGGCAGCATTCACGGCTCATCTGGCAAACTTTTACAGCGCTGCAAGTACTGAGTCGAATCATAATGACGCACAACTTGGGTCTGTGGCGAGAGCCGGCGGTAAAGGCCATGCCCAGCTGGTTATGACGGGAGAGTTGTCAGGGTGCAAAGGGGCGGGAATGACGCCGCCTGTTGCTAGTGCGCCGCGGTGCGGTGATCGGGTTCTAAGGACTAGGATTGGGTGTGGGTGGTGATGTTGGGGATGGATCTGCGGTTGGTGGTCCGGAGGATTAGAATACCAGGCAGCCAATCATCGAGGAGCTTGATGTTGCCACTGCAAACCACTGAACCCTGTACAAGCTCCCAGTCTTGTACCGTCCCAGTCTGTTCAAAATCTAGACCATTCTCATGGCGACGACTCCGTAGTCGACAGAACTCGTGCTTTAAGGCTCTCTGGATGAGCTCGAGGTCAAAGTTGAATCCATCTCCGACAACGAATAACGCTGGTCTGGCTGGCCGCTCGCTCTCTTGTTTGCGACTTGAAAGAAAGCTCATCTTACATTCAGGTGCTCGGAAATACAGCAGTAGCTGCAGAGGAGTAGATGCTCAGGCAGCTTAGTGTGCAGGTGGTACAAAAATCAAACTTCCTTAAGATGAGTTTCAATCACGTAGGAGATATCACTAAATATACGAATTTGTACAACGTACTTAAAACAAAACCTAGCGACGAAACATACCAACTGGGTGGCCGTTGACGAAGGTAACCACCAAATCGCGCGAAACATTATTGCAACATACCTGCCCAATGCCAATGTTGCTGATTGCTCGCCTCAATTCCAATTTTTAACAAAATTCCGTCAGATTTCCTTTTGCAAAGCGATTGTGACATAGAACTCGCCTTGTTTCTTCTCTCACAATCGCGCTCCTCGAAGATTTTTCAACTTCACAACTGCCTTACCGTCATCAGCGATGCGAACCGATTGCTGCAAGTGCATTTTGGTCCTACTCAAGCCCGGAGAGCAGCATCTTCATTGCGTTGTGGGCAAAGGTCCTCTGATTCGGAGCAAAATGAACACCCACTTTAGGTTCAGTCTTTGGACAGCAGGTCACAGGTTCAACAAGAAACTTCGGCCAGATGCCCCCTCTCTCTCTGGAGCAACACAAGTATCCTCCTTTGAACAAATGATCTTGTTCTTGTCTGGTTCTCGACACCAGCATTAACGAAGCAGATATCAATCCCTGTCACTCTGACACCTAAGTGAGGTCAACACTTGTTCAATGGCTCGTTTCCCCTAATTGTTAATCTCGTAAGAAAATTTCGAGACGTGGTGCTGAGGTTGGACACTGGAGCGCAGATGATAATAATGTAATCTATAATTAGTCACGCTCTGGATTTATGCTTCTTATATGTGCACGCAAATTATGTAGTAGCAGACCAATTGCACGATCAAAGAGATCGTGGGAATGATGAGGGTAATTGTACATGTGAACCGCTCATCATTTTGTAAATAAAACATGTGGTGCAAAGCATGTGAAGAAAATTCCATTTTTGTGATGAAATTTAGATTTGTAGGAATGAATACGTTTGAGAGATAAACCTACAGTCAAATTTAATACATACATACATGGTAGTTAAATTACATTCCCAGAAAAGTATAGGCAGTGATGAGATAAAGAAAATATTTTTGATTGTTTAGTTCAGTTAGGTTAGACTTGAACAATCGATGTAAAAGTTAGTCCAGACAACCTAGCAGCGTTTCGTAACAAAAAAAAAAAAAAAAAAAAAAAAAAGAAAAAAAAAGGAAGGAATTTGAGTGTACAATGAGTTTCCCATTTGAAGCCACAAGATCTGCCGTCCTCATCGTCCTTTTATCACCTTCTCATCATGTCGCGACTGTGATCACATCATTATGAATCAATGCAAGATGACACATCTTCTTAGAGAGTGTGAAGTGGTCCTTAAATGTATTTACAAAACCGGAGGAAACAGCAGGATTCACATCGTGCAGATCCCTTCATAAGTACAGATGAGCGACTTCAGACCAGGGGGCAAAAATTAATGCCGAACGTTGCACACTACGAAACTGCTGCTTCTAAGAAATTAATCTGCAAAATTAGGGCTCCACAATCGCCATACCTAAGAGCACTTCCATGCCGACACCGTGATCAGAGATCGGTCCTGCCATGCAAGGGCGATGCATCCAGATGGCCTCTGCAATCGAAAGCTGTCGCAGAATTGCCACAAGAGCTGCTGGGCCTGACTATAGGCATAGTGACTGAGCGGCACAAGGGTAAAACCAACCGTTTCCATGATCCGGATCCACGTTTCTGTGCACTCATAACGCTCTGTCCTGTCCACGCCTTCATTTGCTACGATGTTCTCAATTTGTTTCGCGAAGTAGTTGTTCTCGACGTTTAACCGGTCGTGACAATCTCGAGGCATGGTGGAGTCCAAGGAATCGAAGAGGGCGCAGTAGAAGTGGAGTGCGTCCATGAATCTGGGCCTGAACTCGGGTCGGTTCAGAGCGGCATCATGCTCTGTGAGGGTTACGAGCGCGGGAGAGAGGCTAATCACTGATCTGAGAAGCCTAAGTATGGATGGTGATCCCTCCTCATCCAGCATCTCATGCAGTTGTAGCATGAAGTTTGCAACCGTCTTCTCGTCCGGGTTGAGCTGGATTGACTCCGGGGTAAAGTCCTCCATTGACACCAAGATCACAGGGCAAAACTCAAATTCGACGTTTAGATGCTCTACACAGTGAAGAAACAATACCATGCAATCAGACTAATGACTGAACCGATTGTTTGGAGACGAAAAGCAGCGTAGAAGCTTTCTGTTGTGATATGTACCTTGGCAGTGAAACATCCGACAAATTGGTATGCAATCCATCTGAGATGACAGAAAAAACAGAATTCCATGAGCGTACCTGCAAAGGATTGAAGCCTTTTGCCCGTCGCTAGTACAGACAGAGAGGCAGATTCAGATGCTGGGTTGTTGACACTGATTCCAGTAATCCTAACCTTGGGAGGTGGCTGCTTCTTCGGCAGGGAAGCAAATGCTTGAAGCAAGGCTGCCCACTGAATTCCGTGGGTGATCCCAAAATCCAAAATATGCACCGACTCACACCCTTTCACCGCCTCCAAAATTGCTTGGTTTGCAGTCAAGTGAGCGAATTTCATGTATGGACATGCCTCGTTCAGCACTTGGCATGCCTTGGGTGAGTTGTGGGGGGCTTCCAGCACACCGGGATCTGCCTCCCCCTTCCCTCGTGCAATGCGTTTTGTCAAGGCATCACAAAAGTAGGCAGCGACTCGTTGCATAGGATCACCAAGGGGCGATGAGAGATCTCGAAGACGGCATAAGGTAGACACCGCCAAATGTTGATTCTTCTCAATCTGAGTAGCACATTCTAAGAGGAGATGGACGAGGTGTACACTGTGATCCTTGTCTAAGCCACCACTGTAGTCGCTCTCTGTAGAACGTTCCTCAGCTTCGGAAACGTCCTTCCTATTTGCGTATTGGGTGTGATCACTAGCACCAAAGCTTAGCTCTTCTTGTAAGGAAGGATCAGCCGCTGCTTGGTCTAGCTGCTGCAATGTGCGAAGTCGATGCTGCAATTCGTAGTCCTCTTGTTGCAGCCCTGTCCGCTGCAATTCTGCCATTGCAGAGGCATCTTCACTTTCGCTGTTAATTCGCACTCGCAGCTCCCGGGGCAGGGTGAAGTCGTTCTCCCATGAATCAACCATGACGGGGGGCAATGCAGAGCTCTCGGTGCTTTCACATGGTTGTAGGTCACCGATGAAGGACTCCATCCACTCATTGCCACTCGCGCTGCCATAGGTTGGGCCACCCCCAAAGCCCATGTTGAAGTCGTCCATCTTCAAGGGTGGCAGCACGGTGCTCGGTGTTGTTGGAGCAACACAATGTAAGCCCTGTTCGAGTTTCAATGAAGGAGATCCGTCCTGCATTAGGGCTACATTGGTACGTCGAGAGAATGGGGAATTCGCCTTCTCAATGTCGCCTACGTGTGGAGAGTGTTGTAAATTCACTGGATCTGAAGGGGAAGAGCAGGTTTGCAGCGACTGTCCACGTTGTAGAGGCGAGCCAACGCGGTCGAGCTCAATCCCTGGATGCAGGGGTTGCATGGTCATGGAGCCAGCCAAGGGCGAAGAGAAGAGGTCCTGCAGCGATGCCTGCTCCGTCGACTGTCTGTAGCGGGGAGAACCATACTGAGGTATCATACTAGGAGAAGAAAAATCTTGCTTACTGTTGTAATGGGAAAAATGCAGGATCTGCTGTGGATGGGGCACAATCGACGGGTCAGAGCGTGGCATACAAATCGCTGCTCCAACATCACGTCCAGCCATTTTCTTAACTACATCGATCCTCGGGTTTCAGCGTGCAAGAAAATCTTGCGGACATTATGGAACTACTACTGCCAGCCCTGTACACATATCAGATCAGGTTCACATCAGTTCATGCTCAAGAGGCAGAACGAAGCGCAAAGCTTCACTCACCAACTCTGGGCTGAATCCTACCGACTCCTGCTCCGGCAAATCTAGACTCGGAAATTTGTAGGCCTCCAGCTACAAGTGCACACAAGGATCGCCACAAACTGAGTATCTTAAACCTAAAATCCTCCAGACTGCTGTTCGTTTAGAGAGCCGAAAAGCCATATTGACACTACATAACGAAATGAGTTGAACGCTCTCTAGGCAAACAAAATGCTCTGTAGTGTAGAAAAACAAGACGGAAAACTCTTCTTGCGTGAGGCCGTCGAGTAACGATAAGTCACAACATCCAAGCTGATCCCAACATAGAGCTCCAAGCTAACACGTCCAAAACTAGAGGATAAAATCTCGCTCCCGGCCTCATCTGTACTAACGCAACCCAGCTCATTCATTGATCACTCGAAGCCTCTGCCCTCTACTCCTCTACGATTCCTCATCCCTCGTAATCCAACCCTTCCAGATGCTTCTAATTTTTCTTTCATTTCACCATCTAACGTACCCACCTACTGATTCTCCCAGGTTTCACGCTCGAGCTTCAAAACGCCACATATTCCCAGCCACAAAACACCTAACGCGAACTACACACTTACTCAACCAGCTTTTGGAGCCTCCACAACCAACCAGGTGACAGATTCAACCACTGCACCACCAGATCCCGCACTCAAACCCACAACCCACGTCCAATTCATCAACCCATCACTGCAAAAACCACCAAACATCCCTCGCCTCACACCGCTGGGACGTCACAATCCTTTCCCTCCCTCCCTCACTCACTCCCACCTCAAGCTTCCAAGGAACTGAGCTATACCTCACGGGATCGAGCGCCACTGACGCAAATCTCCACCAAAAGACGCGCCTCCGATCCCGACCACGAGCCACGACAACGACGAAGAAGTGATTGGGACTCAATGGACAACAACGAAGCAAGGGGGATCGCACTGAACGTAGAGGTGAGGTGAAAGTTAGGTGGGGGAGGATGGCGCAGATTGAAGGGTGAGGTGGAAGAGGAGGACGACGAGAGAGACGTTGGAAGGGGGTGGAGTGGGGTGGGGAACGGGGGCCATGGGAGCTGAGGTCCTGGCCCCCCTCCCTCGCAACGACTGGATTCTTCTTTTATTAGCTCTGCGAGAGAGAGAAAGTGGGTAATTTACACCACGTTAGCCTGTCTGCCTCCCTGCCTGGTGGAGATGGGTCACATTCGACGGCGATGGAGCGCGGATTCGCCCCCCCCCCCCCCGCCTGCTTGCAGCCTCGTCCTCCTTCCTTCAACTTCGTCGTCTTCGTCGTCGTCGAGGTGGGGAGCCGTGATGGTGGTGGTGGTGGCTCGGGAGCGGAGCGTATTGGTGGTGCGCCGTGTGAACGCGCACTATTGACTTAATGCACGTCGTGGGCACTTGATTACAGGTGACCGGCTGTAGTGGGTGTGTGGATGACTGGGCGTGACCCTTTCAAGTGTCGCTGGATCGGTGTGGGTATGAAACGGGGTTTCGTGAAGTCAGAGGGTCATCCATCCTCTTGAGCCATAAGCCCTTAGTAACTCAGTTTGTTAGTTAGTTCTCATGTTTTGGATGAGGGTAAACTTGGTTAGCTCTATGTAGCAAACGCTATGAGGGGAAACATATTGTTTTGTCTTGTTTTGGAAGTGAATAGATTACTTTACTTCTATTATTATATTTTAAAAGTTACAAACTTTTAATACAGTAAAGTAATCTATCTTTAAAGATAGATTACTTTACTTCGTTAAATAAAAATATTATTTTTTAATATAAATCTTTTCCTTAAAGAAAGTGGATTCTTCTTCTTTGTCAAAAAATTTATTAGAAGTTGCATATCACCCTCCTCTAATTAAAATTTTTAATTTGTTTGAGTTGTCTATAGAAGGAAAAATTATGGATGCTATTCTCAATAGAAGTGAGAATAGATTTGCAACTATTGCAGATCTTTATGAACTTGTCAATACTCTAAGAATGGAAATCTCATGTATTTTCAACGTGAATCATGGAGGTATTATACCTATGCCTATAGAAGAAGTTCAAAATCTCCAACAAGAAGTTGTGGAGTTGAAGGAAACAAGTGGATTGACCTCTCAATTAAATCTAGGGAGTTTTGCTTCTACAACCATGATGGGAACAAGGATTAGTATGCTTAAGAAGTTTGGTGGATCAAGATCAAAATTTCAAGGATTTTTGCAACAAGTCTAGTTCTATCTAAAATTGCATCCTTTCTAATACCTTGATGGATTTACTCAAGTTAGATTCATAAGTGCACTTCTATCAAGAAGTGTTCTCTCTTAATTTACATCTTTAATGGAAAAAGATTCAAAACTCTTTTATGATTTGAATTCATTCTTAGAAGTGTTTACGACCACATTTGGAAAAAGTCATTAAGAAAGAATAGCAAAAATCAAGCTCTTATCTTTACAGTAAGGATTACGATCAGCCACCATATATGCTATTGAATTCCAAAACCTGGCTTGCGATGTAGACTAGAATGAAAAAATCCTTATCAATCAATTTTGATATGGATTGAAGAATAATATCAAAGACTTGTTACTAACAATATAAAAGACAGAATCTTTGAAATAATTTATTACTCAAGCCATTGCATATGGCAATCAATTATTTGAAAGTCATCAAGAACAAAGATATGGCTGGAGATGAACAAATCAAATAATGATGACAATTCCTAAATTTTTAGAAACTTATTTATGAAGGCCACAATCAATGCAAATTGATACAATATATTTTAAACTCTTCACAAAGCAAGAAAAGAATCGATGACGTTAAGAGGGCTTATGCTTATATTATAGAGAAGATAATCACACAGTTTAACATTATCTAAAGAAATAACACAATTATAAAATAAAAAGTACAATTGCCAAAGAAGACAATGTGTCAGAAAACAAGTTGCTCCAACTACAATAGGAACCATGTAATTGGAATCATGTGTAATATCTAATAAAGGTCTTATTTTTTCTTCCAATTTCTCACTTTTTTTTATAATAAAAGTCTATTTATGACCAAAAAATTATAAAATCTTAAGCTTATTGGATTTAGCAACCTCAACTTATTTTATACATAAAGACTTTATCAAAAAATAAGATATATCTTTAAAAAAATCAAACCTGTTGTTAGGGACCATATGTAAGAGAAAGTTTTAAGACTAAGAAATGGAGTTAGTTCAATATTAAAATAATAATTAGATATAAGGCAAGAAGGTCATAGCTAGACAACAAGAAATGAGTTGTTGAGACTAAGAATTCCCTCATCGTCAACTCTTATATATATTAGGTCCTAAAAACCTTCTTGAGAAGTTTCCATGAGACTTGGGAACAAATCAAGCTTAAGATCCTTCTTTGGTAACTTCTTAAACCATCTAAAGCCTCCTAGAATCTTTTAGAGTCTCTTATGTCTTTTTAGAACTTTTTTAGAATCTATAGGAATATTCTAGAATCTTCTAAAATCTTCTAAAATCTACACAAATCTTTTTAGAATCTTTTAGAATCTCTTAGAACCTTCTCGAATCTTCTTTAGTTATATGTCTGTGACATCATCTCTTCTTCTAGCTTCAATGTCTTTGAGAAGTAATGTTGTTGCAAGTCAATATATGCACAAGAAGTTGAAGATTTGTCGCATGGTGTCTGCTATATATTCCAGTTGTATTTTGTAAGAAAAATGATTCATAAATCCTTGTAGCCATCGATAGTGCCCTAAGTCTTCTACTTGTGACCAAGCATGAACTTTGGTATCATTGTTATGGAATTGTCCTATAAACACTCATTTTAGACATCCTTCATAAGTAGGTTCTACTTCAAATATAATTATCAACAACCTATTACTAGGTATCTTTTGACGTCTTCATGGTTCAAGCGGCTCTTCATCTCGGGGTCATTTTTACAAGCTATTTGGTTGAGATGGTATAACTGGCAGGTTGTCTATCTTTTGACTATTCATATTATATAAAGTAGACAAGATCAAAAGAATATAAACAAGCTATGGTCGTGAACTTGAACTACTGACTTATACTCTTTTAGACATTTGAAAAAACTACCTCTTCAGAGGTTGTCTCTTCTTCTTCTTTGTGAGGCCAAGAACTAAAAATCTTCATGGTGAAGTTATCTTAGTAAGCTATTGTTCTTTATTTTACCATTTTTGGTCTGGATGGATATAATTGATGGAACTTTTGAATCTTCATTTGTACATTTACAAGGTTGCCAACTAATTCCTAGGTATGATTGTTGATATCATATCTGTGCCAATGGATCAGATATTCAAACCTTTCATATTTTATCCTTAAATCTAATATCTCTTTTATAACAAATTCAACATGATTATTGACCTCAATCATAAGAGGTATCACGAACATACATATTTACTTTGATAATTATCTAAATAATAAGAATAGGTAGAAGTAAGTTTAAGTAGATAAATATGATAATATCTTGTAGAAAGCTTCCTAAAAGCTTCATAGATATTGCTTTTCCTTTATACATATCTATAGGTGATTGATAGGTTGAAAACTTAGCAAACAAGGAAGCCATATGTCGATATGTTGACCACTTGTAGTACAAATTGGACATATGGCGCACACCTAGGAAACTTGCCTTGCAAATTAGACATGTGTCCTATAAGTTAGATGCATATAAGAGGTTTTATAGCATGTCTCCACATGGTTCTTAATTAAGTAGTATATATAGAGGCAAAGGTGAGGCCTTCCTCACTTTTATCAACTCTTTTCTTGCTTTTAGTCTAATTTCAAGAGTCTCATATTTTCTAATCTTTGGCAATAGCCATTCCAATTCTTCTTTGAATACACATATTTTCTCCTATTTTGTCACTTTCCTTTTGATACAAATTCGATGAGTTTATGTATCTTCATCTAGTTTGTATCTTTGAAAAATTGACAAGAGTATACATACAATATTAGAGCTTATTCCTTTCTTGATTAACAGTAGATTATCACTTTCTGTTGATAAGACATAAACATATTAGAAGTTGTGGATTATCTTCTTCTAAATTGATATTATTTTTAGAATTTTTTTCTTGATTCTTGAGTATTGTATTCTGTGAAAATAGATATTTTTTTTATTTTTTTTATTTTTTTTATTTTTTTATTGTGCTAGCATAGGAGAGCTTGCTGAAATGAAGAGTGCAATTATTCAAATATAAGAGCAAATGAGAGAGTTAATGCTTACAATGCATCAATTTAGTCTACCACCACAAAGAGCAACAAGATCATCAAGCAATGAAGATATAGAGATGATTGGAGTGGCTTCAACATCTATACCAAGCTATATTAGTGCTCTTATGAGAGAACATTGTTCAAATTTTAAAGAACCAAAAATTGGATTGTTTGAAAAGTTTGATGGTACAAGATATACGTTTTGAAGATTCATCAATCAAGTATAATTGGTAATTAAACTACAACCTCAAAGTTATCCAACTTAAGGATCATAAGTTAGGTTTATTGGAACACTACTTTCAAGTTCTATTTTATCATGGTTTTCATCATTTTTTGAACGATGTGATCTAATATTGGATAATTTAGAAGAATTTTTAGTAAAATTTCAATCTATATATAGAGAACATAATGCAATCCATGTTACAATCAATAAGATTTGTATCTTGTGACAAGGCAATCGATCAATGACATTATATGCTTTACAATTTTAATAATTAGCAACAGATATCAAGTGAGATGATGCAGCACTTAGTAGCTAATTTCTCTATGGATTACAATATGAAATAAAGAAATTGATGCTCAATTTTTCTGATCTTCAAACATTAAGTGAAGTAATTGACTTATTGTGGAATGTGATAATCAACTTTTTGAGTTTTGATTTGAGAATCACATAAGAAAATCTCAATGTTATTATAATTCAATGACGATACCAATGAATTTTTAATCTAAATATTTGAAAGTAAAAGACATGCAAATTGATGTAATATATTTTAAACTTCTTATCAAATAAAAAAAATACTTTTTGTCATTAAGAAAGACTATATTTATATTGTAGAGAAGTTAAGGACACTTCTCAATATTGCTCAAAGAAACAACACAACTACAAAATAAAGAGTACTATCGTCAAAGATAAAAATATGTCAAAA